AAGAAGTTGGGGGTGAGTTTTGTGTGGGTGAAGAGATGTAAGAAAAGTAGGATAAAGAGGGAAATAATTAGAATTTGGGAAAATATTGGGAAGGAGAAGGCCGCGTTGGTTTGAGAGAAGCTGCAGTTCATGTTTTCGTGAGCTGGAGTAGAGGGAGGAAGCGGTGTTGCGATATTCGAAGGTGGAGTGGGGCGGGGGTGGGGAGGGGGGGGAGGGGGGGGAGGGAGGGGTGGGGAATCTGGACAGGCCTTGGGTTTGTACTGCAATTTATATCAGGCTCACGGGGCTGCATCTGGATGCTTGAAGTTCCACGCACTTTCGAAACTTCCTACGGACGAGGTTGCCGACAAGGGTTTTTTTTTGTTGTGCAGCAACATGTCGCACGCTCGATGCCCGACAAGTGTAACTATGAGAATGGAGATTTCGATTCATTTCGATGAGGAAGTTCTTCCACAGCAGCATATCACCATTCCGAAAAAGATGCTGCGGCGGCGAACTCCTATTTTTTCCATGAAGGGTACCGTACTGATGCACAACTTTAGTTTTTGAAAAAGACAGCGAGAGTACTGCCACTGGGCGATAGGCACTATCCATGCGCCGCTGCAGGGATACCAAGCCATCTCTTTGGTGCGACCTAGGTTGGGGTTGAAGGCCAAGTCATGAGGGCAAGTACCGATTCTTTTGTTAAATTAAATGACGTAACCCGACGGGGGGATATATACCTTGTCTCTCGCTGAGTGATTGGCCTATTGCCACTATACTCTCCACATAGCATCGGCGCCGAGATGTAGAGATAAGGTATCCTTTCTTAACATCCTGCGATGTCACCGCAGAGACTCGCCAGTACAAATGACCATGATTGTTTTCCCCGCATGTCGTGGCATTCATGAAACGGCCCCGCCTAAAATGTTGCCAGCCAGTGTGCATACTGTAGTAGACGAGGTTTTCAGCGAGGTTGATGTTCATGGATCGGGGTAGTACGCATCTACTGTCGTTGGGGTACAGCAGATTTTCTACGCTGTACATTTATTCGCCCAGCCCCCTCACATCCCACCACAACATGGGCGGTTCGTCAAACGCCTTTTCAAGATTTCTCGTGGGGAACAAAACGCTTTGGAAAACGACTTTTCACTGTCTATATAAATGGAACAAGCCTTTAACGCAAAGCAGTGTCTATGTGAGGAGCAATGTGAGCTGCTTTAGTACTGCGACAGATAGTGTGACCTAACACGCCTCGTAAAACGCTTTCTTGCTATTGGGTAGCATACTTTAAGAATGGAGGTTACTTCTGACAGTTGCACTCATTTGCTTCAACAAGATGCACTCCGGCAGTCGGGGAGAGAACGAGAGGTGACATGAATATTAAGTGGATGGCAACGTGAACTTCAGTAGCGCATTCGTGAAAAGTTGGAATTTTATCTGAACGATTCGCCTGTGCATGCATGGGCTGTTGCGCCATTCACATAGGAAGTCTCTCCAAAATTTCAAACAGAGACTGCTTATTCTTTAAGTGGTTCATTTTCGAAGATATCCCGCCCATAGGGCCGCTTTTACTTATGCCACCCTCCCACTACTGTAATGCTGGCCAGTCGCACGAACACGAAAAGTGCCACGTGTCACACGGGTCCTCGTGTTACGCTGCCATCCGTCCGTCGCGCGTGAAAACATGTGAAAGCGGCTTCTAAGCCCGATCCTATTCACCGAACAGCGTTCACAGACCTTGGCTTGTCCTCCTTATGGATCCGGTTCCGGAAATAAAAAAAGCAACGAGCAAGCGCCTGACAATAGCGCAGAAGCTGGACATTGCAGATCTGCTCGAGAATGGACACTGTGCCGCAGCAATTAAGCGGCAGTTCGGCATCGCAGGGCGCACAGTGCGAAAAATCAAAGCTACCGCTCCCACATTACTCCGCGTAGCCAACAAGAAGCCAAAATCACTGCAAGTAAAGACTCGTTAGGCTGTGGGAGTTTTGGCGACTGAATGCCAAGTTTCAGACGCTCTATCGTATCTGAGGTCGGTAAGCGCGGATTCTCACCGCAAAACAAAGAGAACCATCGCGGAGCAGGCAGACGTTAATTACCGAGTGCATGAAAATAGATGTGACGACGTCACCTACTAATGCCATCTCCCAATAGTGCCTATTTTTTGGGGTCTCGCACGGGGCGGCACTAATGGGTAGGGTCCCCTGTAGCATGAAATAGCAATAATATTGCTATTTTAAGGTATATTTTCGAGTTTACGCACGGAGAATTCTGTATAGGGGGGGTCGCGCAATAGTGCTGCTTGAGTAGTGCCGCCCTCGATTTAGTGCTATGCGAAACGCCATGGCACGGGTTATCATAATGTCCTTTAAATATGGTTTTCTGTGCTTCCTGAGGGGCGTTCTAGGTGTTTTGGAAAGTAAGAAATTTGGAAATTTGGAAACTTGTCATACGCCACATATCCAATAAGCGCCTGCTACGTTGCCACGTGTGTTTCTACTTTTCCATAATCTGTTTTCGTGTAGGGGAAATCCGGAATTTCCCCGAAATGAAATGAAACGGAGGAAACTGCAATCGAAGTCCCGCCAAATAAGAGAGTCAACAATGCCCGTCCCCTCTCTTTCCCTTCCTCCCCAGTGCCGTCCCCGTCCCCCCCAGTCCCGTTCTCCTTCACTTTGCCAACCTCGCGCACATCGCACGCGTTTTTCGCCTCTCTGTCGACCTGAAATCGGCCAACCGTGACTGACGTCACTGACTCGCTCCTTCCACCCTCCCTCCCCCTCCCTCCTTGATCCCTCTCTGCCCCCCACCCTCTGCCCCCGCACTACCATGCCACACCCCGTGCCGGAGGACTAGCGCCGCGCGTTGAGCTCGCTGAACAAGCACTCGATCCAGTCGGCGCTCTTCGACGCGGCGGCGCGTTTGTCCGAATGGTTCTCGTCGGCGGTCGGGCGCTGGTTGCTGTCGCGCCGCTGCTCCTCGCACGCGGCCTCGGAGCACAAGGTCTGCCTGTGCAAGCGCCCCACGTTTGCGCCTCCGCGCCCGTTCGAGGACAGCACCCCGGCCCTGCAAACCAACACTCCGTTCCTCATCGCCACGTCAGCCGACCACCAGCGCGCGCTGTCCGCCACCGCCCTCGTCGCCCCCGACACCTCGGCCTCGGCCTCCGCCGCGCCGGCCGCGCCGCGCCTTCGCATCTTATGAAAAGATCTTCACCAATAGTTGCTAGATTGCTAGATGTGCATTGAGATTAAAGCTTTCTCGTGTGTTTGTAATCTCTTGTCGACGGAAAACACAGCATCTCATGGTCGCTTGCACGACTGCAGACAGTAAAACTTGCATTGTCTCCCTGGTGGGCCTTCGCTTTTCGATCTTTGACAGTATGCGCATCGGGAAAGCCCGCCGAGCCAGACGACGGCGAAAGGGAGCACGCATGGTACGTTAATCAAGCAGGGAACGACACTGTACGAGCACGCCTAGCCTATAACCTAATACTCCCCACGTGAGTGTGACATGATTGGGTGTCCGTAAAAAGTTTCCAAAATGTTTTGGACCGGATCCAAGATGGAAATTGGAAATCAGTGCCCTGCTGTACAATTTCCGATTTCCAAATTTCCGACTTTTAAAAACACCTACAGGCGACTCCCTCAATTAGTGCACCCCCGTGCCATGCGCATTCTATGTGCACTATCTTCAATGTGCAGTATCTAAGGGGCTCGCTAAAAGTAGTTTACGGGGCAACGAAATGTTCCGTTACCAGCGTCTGCCGTCGCTGACGCTTCGTGTGTTCATTATAGACACGGCTCAACGCTCGCTTAGCAAGACGTAAATGATAGGACGCCTCCGTAACACGCACCTCCTCACAATATCGCTCTGCCTGCGCAAAGGCCTGTGAAAGTCGCCGCAGCACCTCCTCTTTTTGCAAAAGGGTAAGGCGGGTTCTTGACGCCCTGGATACTGGTTCAGTTGTGCTCATTGTGTGATTAGTTGTTCGAAGATGCATGAGGTTGCTGGGATCTGTAAAAGAATGGAACCCGCTCTCTACGGACGGCGACGACCATTGTGCTCGCGTGAACATACGTGTACACCTGTACAAAGTCGTGCCAAGCTATCAGAGGGTGCATTAAAGTCCAATGTGCACTAACTAAAAGTGCACTAATTAAGAGACCCCCCATGTAGTAGAACGCCCCTGAGTAAAAGGCCGTATTTTGGTTCTCTTTGTATAGTGGCAACCCTACAATAGTGCCACATATACAGGTTTGTGCCGGTATGGCACTATATCGTGGGACCCCCTGTACAGTAACTAAAAATTAGAAATCGATATACAGCAATGCAGAAATCCTATTTCTGAAAAATCATTGCAGAACATTTTAAAGCCGTTCTGGTGCTCTGGTTCTCACAAACTACGCTGCAGTTCGTGAGAACCAGATGTAAGTATAAGGTGACCCTCTGGGTCAGTAAGAAATATACTGCATGAGGACAGCGCAGTCCTCATACATATGAGAACAAGCCCCGGTCGGGTACACACTTGAGGGGATGGGGTGGGAGGAATGGTTGCTTGCTGGCTGAGGGCGTATTCGGCAATGTTCTTTCCCTTCTGCGATTTTGGACACGTGGAGAAAGGTTGTCCACGTGTGCATGAATCCCGATGCGATTTTTCTTAACTTGGTCAGTGATCCGAAATGAAAGGAGATATTCCAGATGTTGGGAGAAAGTATGGAAGACTGGATATATTGTACGATACACTTGTCATTCGTTTATTTTGCAGCTCCCACGATCCACATCCTTTTGCTTCAAGGGTCATGTGATTAGATTGTTGGAAAGGTCTGCTTCAAAGCTTGCAAGACCATCGGAAAGGATCCCTTCAAGATATTCGTATTCCGGCCTGTCTTCGTAGTTCAAACCATATAAGTATTCAAAGAATCTCTGCATCATTGGCATGCGATGGCAGAGTTCTTCTATCGATGTCGCTTTTTGCGCTGCAGCGGCGATTTTGTGAAGAGGTCTAGATCTATTTTCTATGCTATCGCTTTCCCTCACCAGCCGCAGATAGTCCCGCAAAGTGCCAAACCACGGGAGCTGGTTTCTCTCCAATATACTTATCATTGTATGCCCTAAACTGATTAAATCATCTCGCCGCGCATGCTCGTATCCCATGTTCACGAATAGAGAGCAGTACGCTGCCGTTCCACGATACTTTGGCTGATACGGACTTCTAAACTCGCCAGTCGTTGTGTTTATAAATTGCCTTGAAAGACCAAAGTCGATCAAATATATGCAGTTGGGGTCCGTGTCTCCGATCAAAAAGTTTTCCGGCTTAATATCACTATGAACGTATCCTAGTTCATGAAGAGCCCTGATCCTTTGGATTGCCTGGATCCCGAACTTGAGAATGGATTTCGCTGAAAAATATCGCCCATTTCTCATCATTTTTTCTAAAGAATCGCCGAGTTTTTCCATGGCAATAAAGTTCATCTTTTGATCCGACCCATAGTCATATACTTGTGGGATCCCGCAAATAGGCTTTGGGACTGTCCCCAGCTTTTCAAAAACCTCGACTTCACTCTTAAACCCGCTGGAGGTCCGTTCCGGTTCTATCTTAACAACGCACATACGGCCTGTATTAATGTCGCGTGCCTCATAGGCTGTACCAAAAGAACCGCGTCCAATCACCGTCCCCAGCTCCCATCGGTTTTTGATAACTAAGCCGACGCAATCTTGCTCACACGCAATGTGCGGTTTGGGGAAACCCCTTCCAACTTGAACAGCGAGTGAGAAAAATTTGGCAAGCATTTCTGGAACTAGTCGAAGTTCATGTGCAGCATTGCGAATTTGTCTGCGAAGGTTGCCTCTAGGCTTGCTTACATGATCAATAGTTGCAATCATCATTTTGAATATCGAGTAATTTTGTTGAGATGAGAGAAGTCAGAGTCTCGAAACAAGCATTGAGTAATCTTTATATACGAAAGAGAGGAACAAGTTTCGGTACCACTCTGTGGAGATCTTACATACCAAGACTAGACAGGATTAGTGAGAAAAAACCACTGCGAAATTAAGGTGAACAATTTTAATACTAATTCAACTCTTCTGGCTTTGCAAAATCTTTGTGAAAGCCTTTCAACTGCTATGCCTTCTATTGGCACCGGTGCCTTAACGGCCGCTTGCAGAAAATATACGCACGAAAGAGGCTTAAAACCCATCGATTCTTCGCAAGGTTTGCAATTAACGACAACGCCAGTTTCTTCAGCCCCAACATATGCGTACTGCACAGTACATATACTTTTATGTTTCATGGTTTTCACTTTATTCTTTTTGGTCACGACCGCCTCGCAATGTAATTGCTCACAGGACAACTATTATGTTCATTCCTCTAGAAAAGGAAGTTTTCTAGGAAAGAGTTTGAATGGCTTGTATTCCGACCTTGTCTTACTAATTGTTCACTCTAGTATCTATCGGACAGTTGTTCTCATATGGGGACACTTTTTGACTTTTTTTTTCTCGACTTGCGCTTCCTCCACAAGAAGGAAAAAGATATCCCCACCACAGTACTTGAATTCTGCCCTGGGCCAGAAAAGAACTTTTTGAGAGTTGCATGTTCTTCCTGGTCGTCTTTAGAAATGCCTGGAAAAGAAGCTTTTAAGCAACCTTGAAACTTCGTGTAAAATAGCTGCGAAACCAACAACACCAGCTTTAGAAAGCAATTGGGTACTAAATCTGCATTACTTTTTTAGTCTCTCGATGCATTCAAAACTACTTTTTCGGCATTTTGCAAGATTTCATTGCCAAGGACAAGTACTTCACGATTCAGTCGGGTCGAGGAGGGGCCCAACGACTTCATCACCGCTGATTCTACACTCGTGGTACGTGGACACGTGCAAAAATACATCATATTATGAACCCTTCCCGCGTAGATTTGGTCAATAAAGTTGATTTAGAATTTTTTAGAATTCCCTCCTATTGCTGTCGAACAGAATTTAAACTTAAAGGACCTCGAGATTAAGCAGCTCTTGAACATGGGAAGAAGTCCTTATCATTTTCGAGCCACACCTACTCCACGGGCACCCATTGTCGCTGGTATCCAATCGAACTGCCCACTCGAAACACTTACGTGTCCAAGCCCTGGAAATGACTCATGAAAAGAAATGACGGGGTACCTTCTCCTAGCAACCATTTCTAGGAGTCTGCGGCGGGATCGAATGGCGCGGTCAGGGTCTGAGTCAAAGACAAATGACCATGATGGGTGCCGCACTTGATCAGGCTAAAAGGTTTTACAGAATGAGATGAATTCAGAAAAGAGGGATCGTCAGAATGTTGTTAGAATTATAATATTGCAAAGGATTGAGAAGCAGGACCAACAAAATAGTAGGTATCGTAGCGAGGACGAGGAAAGCGGATATGCTGCATACCTTTGAAACCCATGCATCGCCAGAAATGACCAAGATGTCATTGCCTGCAGAAGCCACGATAGAGTTATGACCAGGGCTGTGTCCAGGCGTCGGGAAGAAACGAAGTCCAGCTAGTGGAAGCGCCTTGCCCGGAACAACGTGAAATCTAGATTTCGCCACATAGGGAGCAATGCTCTTGGAATACACGGTTGCAATAGCCACTGCAAATTACATCGAGATGGTCAGATATCAGGTTCAGAGTAGCGAATAGGATAAGAAGTGAGTGGATTAAACATACCAAAAAGCTCGGGTTTTATCCTAGCGCTGGGATCCGGTTCTGACGCAGTCCAAAACCTATGCTCTGCCTGACCTATGTAGACGTCCGCCTTTGGAAAAGCAGCCCGTCCGTCATCTAGCAGGAGCCCGTTGACATGATCTATATGTCCATGCGTCAGAACAACAGCGTCTATGGTCTTTGCTTGTACTCCTGCAACCCGAAGGTTCCGAAATAACTTCCCAGTTCTTGCAAAGGATGGAAATAACGGATTGGGTCTGGCTCCCGTGTCGACCATGACTCGCTTTCCGCTCGGCATGTCAAGAATGACGACGTTTTGTCCAAAGAAGAAAGGATTGCTGGAGCGAGAGCATTTCTTGTACTCACGGAACACAACCTTATCCGGAGGTGAAAATAGTTGAATAGGGGTGACAGTCGGTCCGTTGGAGACGATTTGACCGCGAATGGCGCCGATATTGAAATTATAAGACCCGGCCTTGCTCCTGTATCCCTTTGAGAATGATAAAGTGATCGCCACGGAAAGAAGTAGGACGACACGGATCATGTTCAATATTTGTGCTTCAAAGAAGAACGCGTTCTTGGGAGGAAGTATTTCTTGTCAGCTGAATAGAGTGGATAGTTTCTCTGTCGCAAACGTCGTTGATGAGTCCTTTTGTAGTGATTGTGACTAAGCGGCCTTGCGAATTAGGACTAGGAGATAGAGGCATAAGCCTATACAGCTTTTGAGATACCGTCTTCGCAATGGAGTGGCAGACAAATGGTCTAGACAAACAATTCCCTGCCCCCTTTCCATTTCGCGTATTTTATGGCAGGAGGGTTTATCAGTCCCTTCTGTTGAAGTATTTCAGCAACCCCAAAAGCCTATACGCAGCTCAAATATGAACAAGTGCATGTGGTCCGAAGAGGACTGACACATGCGCTACGTGCCAATAACCCTGGCTTGGACATGTCATCCTGAGAGTACAGGCGACTGTATGAACGAGCGCATGTCGCGATTTCCGTATGGAAGCAGAAGGCGTACAAGAATAGCTTCATTGTCGCGTTTTTCATTTCCAAATGCAATGCCGCAAGCCGAGAGGAATGACGGGAGGTTCATGCAGTACAGCTGGAAAAATGTACAGTTTTACTTGCATCGCCGAGTAACGGCATGCGAGAGAGTGTGGGTGTGATGTTGGTGAAGGTTTATAAAGGCAATGTTCGTATATTGGATAGGGACTGTAGGAGTGGAAGATATTTTGAGAAGGCATGTTTCTGCTCCCTGTGTATAATTGAGGGCGTTTGCCATGTACTGAAGGGATGCTAGAGCGAGATGAGGTAAGTTGAATGAGAGTACGTGGGGTATTCAGCCGGTGTAGCAGCATGTGCTATGATGGCAACGGAAACGAATCCAGGAGAAGTACATGGCCCTGGCCCATGATAGGACCCCGTCAGGAGGAACGAACGTTGCACATGGAATGGGCTTGGCTTTCCAGCACACTGGCGTGGTGGAGTAGCTGGGTTATCGCAGAGCAGTGGAAAGGTGTCTCTCTACCAATGGAGGTGCGACATCAACATTAGAGGTAGCAGTAGGAGATCCAGAAAGCTATGGGGTACAGCAGTAGATGTGATGTTGTACAGTATGAGGAGGCGGAGAGTGGGGAAGGGGTAAATGGAAACGCAGATATTCGCATATTGTACAGACAAAGAGGACCACCATTTTGATTTTTCGTTAAAAGAGGACCATGGATTCAGAAGATGCAAAAAAGGACCATAGTTGTGTAGGCTGTAACATGCCGAATGGTAGGCTTTGGTTCCGGGAATAGACGCGAGCGCTGTAGGAATCCTAAAAGAGAAAAGAGCAATGAGGGGGCTTAATTTGCATGCCCAGAGTACATTGATACAAAAGTATTTCTATCTGCTCTGGCATCTGCTCTGGCATCTGCTCTGGCTATCTGCCTTGTCACGGCGTCTGGTTTACGGCGAGTCACTGTAATCGGAACACGAATCTTCACGGCATCCACGTGTGATCCAGAAGTCGAACCTGAACATAACGAACGGTTAATTCTCTACAGAGTAAAGTCTCGATATGGTGAACCGAAATGTGGCGCTTCCGAGCAACCTACTGAGTTCGCCTTACCGGGCCAGTTCACAGTGGCGGAACTGCTCATGTACACGTGTAGCCGTTGTACAGGTACAGCAAGGCACATAACGTCACTTCCTCTGACACTGTGTATAGACGGGCGACGTCGACGGGCGCAATCGGACATCCAGAGCTCTTCCCGTTGTGATTCAGCCTCCCTTTCTTTTCATTCTGCCTAATTTATCATGGAGAACACCCATGGAGCTGTGTCTCGTGCGACATCAGCTGCGCTTGATGCGGCCGCTTGATGCGGTCTTGGCAGAGCCCTACAGTACGGGAGGCATACAGGATCACGGTTCTAATGTTGGCGTTACCGCAGAGGAAGAGGACGAGGATATGTGTTTGCTAACAGGGGAACTGAGGGAGTTGCATTTTAATGGCGTGATTGGCAAAGTTGATATTGATAGCGTTGATCGGTTGATGGCTGCGGAAAATAGTGTTCCTGTCGCAGAACCTGTTACAGAACAGACAGCTCTTGGGCAAGCTATCGATCTGGGATTGGGGGATTTTGGAGCATTTAACGGCATAGAACACGATCAAGTTGATGGTGATACAGATGCAGAGGACGATTCCTCTACTGTTCCCGCGGAAGGGCAAACAGGACGCAAACCGTCTCTAGGTCGGTACC